GCACAGCAGGCAGGCGAAGAGCAGCAGGTTGTAGATGCAGCGCTCGACGACGCGCACGAAGGGGTGGAACCTGCACCCGCCTCCTCCTCCTCCTCCTCCTCCTCCTCCTCCTCCTCCTCCTCCTCCTCCTCCCTCCTCCTCCTCCTCCTCCTCCTCCTCCTCCTCCTCCTCCTCCTCCTCCTCCTCCTCCTCCTCCTCCCTCCTCCTCCTCCCCCTCCTCTCCTCCTCCTCCTCCTCCTCCTCCTCCTCCTCCTCCTCCTCCTCCTCCTCCTCCTCCTCCTCCTCCTCCTCCTCCTCCTCCTCCTCCTCCTCCTCCGGGGGAGCTGATGAGAGGTGCGAGTGCTGTCCGAGGTGCCCCGTGCCTGCTTCCCCCTCCCTCGGCCCATACGATGCCCCCCTGTGTGGCAGCGCTCCGCCCGACCCTGCCCCGTGCCCTGCCTCGCTCATGGCTCTGCTGTAAGGCTCGGCGGCAGCAGCGGCGGTCACTGCATGAAAAGAATATGGATGTGCGCGGACGCCACGCGATCCTTTTGCACTGGCTTTTGGGAGGAAAGGCGAGGGAGTACCATATCGCTTGCTGTGCGCAGTGCCAAACCCTCCAGCCATCCCTTGCAAAAAAAGACGATGCAAAACGCACGTCGCACCAAAATCCGCCGACCCAGTCGGCGTGTGTGAGAGGCCCTTCGACGCGAGGCCAGCCCAACCCAAACTGAAGAACGCCAACCTCCTTTGAATCGTCGTCGTCGTGGTCGTCGTAAAGGGGATCCCTTCCCTCTGTCCCTTCCCCGCAGGGGGGCGTCCCGAAGAGGGGTCCCGAGGGGTGGTGCCAGGGGGGTCCTCGGGGGACCTGAATTTCCCACCCACCCCTGTTTTAAAGTCAGGGGCCTGAATTTCCCACCCACCCACCCCTGAACCCCCCCCCCCGGGGGACCTGAATGTCATGGGGGGCAAGATGGCCCCGAGAGGCCCCCCAGACCCCCCCCACCGAGCCCCTAGGGCAAGAAGGCCCCAAGAGAGCCCCAAGAGGGCCTCAAGAGGGCCCCAAGAGGCTCCGCGAGGACCCCAAGAGAGCCCAAGATGGCTCCAAGAGACTTCCGAGGAAACGCTTCCAAGGACTTCCCTGATCAAAGCAACTCGCCTGGCGATCTTCTTCTTCTTCTGGATGGGCTGGTGGGGATACGTTTCGATCGCAAGCGTAGCAGAAGTGCCGAACGCCGTCAGAAAGTCGTAACGCGCTAGCTACGGCCTAAAGTGCGCGAGCTGGTGGGGAATTTGTTTTCCTCGCGGGCGCAAGCGAAAGCACAGGCGCCGAGTTGAAAGGTCTGGGCCACGGGCCGATCTAATTTACACGCGCGGGCGAGGCCGCCGATGGCGTGAGGGGAGGAGCTACGCGCGAGCCTAAATGCACAGCGACCGAAAGCTGGTGGGGAACGCGAAGCGTCAAGAATTCCACTGTTTGCTCCTCCACATCCCTAATCAGGACACCTCGCCTGGGCATCGCCTCTAGATGGGCTGGTGGGGTTGCGCGAAGCGTCTAAATTTAAACGACGACGCTAACGTAACCCCTAACCAGATGAACACAACACGCGTACCCATGATGCGTAAGTCAGCTGAACTTGTATGTCCAAATTCGACCAACGACTTATGAATGTCGGTGAATAGTCCCATGGAAAGATGATTATGCGTCTACCAGCAAAACAACAGATAACGTGACATGCACAGACAGAGAGAACAAGCGATAGAGAGAGAGAGAGGTTGCACGCATCCTCGAACACATCCAAATCAAGTTACACAGCCTGCTTTCGCAATATTCGTGAGAGCTGGCGCAACACTTTCAGATCGAAAAGCATAAACACACTTATATTAACGGGACACCAAAGGCGACTGGGAATCGCTGATTGCTCCTCCTAGCGCTGGGGGGGAAAAACATATGTGAAAACATGTCAGCCACCAGGGTAACGAGACACAATTGCAAAATAGGAATCGATTATTATATGCGCTGACGGGTGCCCTGGCAGATTGAAATCCAAAGGCTGGGTCAGAAAGTTAAATTCAAAGACTAAGCAATGTAATAAAGAACTCATAGATTCAAAGGTCTGGGTTCGAGCTCGGAATGTAACAATCCATTAAACAGCAGATGGGAAGCTCAGGGTTCGAGTTCGAAGCCGAAGGATCGAAAAAACTGACCATCTCGACTGCGAATACACTATTCGACTAATATGTCGGACCCATTCTAGGAGGAGGGAGGGAAGTAGGAAGAGGACGGGGACTAGGACGATGAGGAAAATGGGAGCAGGGGGGAAGAGGGGAAATGGATCGTGACTAGGGGGAGGAAGGAAGGAGGAGAGGGAGGGGAGGGAAGAGGAGCAGGAGCAGGAGGAGCAGGACGACGACGACACGACGACGACGACGACGACGACGACGACGACGACGACGACGAGGGAGAGGAGGCCGAGGAGGACGAGGAGGAGCAGCATCAGGCCAGGCGAGGCCACATGTCGATGAGCGACAGGTACTTCAGGATGCGCAGCCAGCTCAGCAGGCCCAGGCCCGACAGCACCCGCTCGGCGAGCTCCAGGGAGGGCACCAGGCGGCCTCTCGCCACGGAGAGGACCGCCGTTCCAGGACCGCCGCTCCGCCTCCATGAAGGGGCCCAGGGGACACACAAAGAAACAGGCACGAACCCCAGGATTCCCCACAATTCCCGCTAGACTCCTGGATGCTCGTCCTCCCCTCCACTGCCCACACGTTCCAACACTCTCCCAGGAATCGGCGATCCTGTGTGTCTGTATGCTTTTGCTCCCTGCTGATTCCAACCCGCGACAAATCTGGGGAACCCAAAAGTTCCCGATACCGCTACTCCCCGGATCTCTCCTGGGGTGCGTTCTGACCAGGATTTCGAGGCGAATCCAGCGGTGGCGACGACGGATGCCCAGGAGGCCCAAAAAGGCGAAAAGGAGGGGAGGGTAGAGGTATGGGTACCCTTCCCTCCTCTTAAAGATCGGGGGTGCGGCTCCCTGCATCAGGAGGTGCTCACCGTGCAGCGTGCGCCACATTGCGTTCCACAGAGCCTCCGACCAGGCGAGGGCGGCGCCCTCGCCGCGGCGCCGGCCGCCCCCGGCGGTCCGCGCGTGCTCCTGCGTCTCCCCATGACTGCCTCCTGCATGCCGTGCCGTGCCGTGCCGTGAGGTCGGGTGTCGGGCCAGGCCGCGGGAATCGAGGATCTTCCCAGCACTCGACGCTGCGAATAGAGAGAGAGAGAGAGTTTCAACTGAAGGGGCCCTGGGACACACAAAGAAATACACACAAGTACAAGGATTCCCCATTCTTTCCTATGTTTTCTGTGTTTTGGTCTCCCCCCCACTTCCCATATTTTCCCATATTTTCCTGGGAGTCGACGATTAGTTGTGTCTGTGTGTTTTTGCCCCCTGCTGATCAACGCAATGGCAGGGATGGTGGAGGTGGGCAGGGCGTCAGATAGGGCGCGAGCGCGCCCAGCTTGTCCATCCCCCTCTCCTCTCCATCTCCTTCCTCCTCGTCCTCCTCCTCCTCCTCCTCCTTCTCCTCCTCCTCGTCCTCCTCCTCCTCCTCCTGAGCAGCAGCAGCAGCAATCACCCCTCCCTTCTTGAATCCATCCTTCACCCTGGTCGTCATCATGATCCATATCATCAGCACCGCCGTGACCATTCAATCATTTACCGCCAACAACATCCACCACCATCAATCCATCCATACCTACATCCATGCATCCATTCATCCATCCACCCATCCATCCATCCGTCCATCCATCCATCCATCCATCCATCCATCCATCCATCCATCCATCCATCCATCCATCCATCCATCCATCCATCCATCCATCCATCCATCCATCCATCCATCCATCCTCCTCCTCCTCCCCTCCTCCTCCTCCTCTCCCATCAAGCATCATCTCATCATCATCATCATCATCAGCATCATCATCATCATCAGCATCATCATCATCATCATCCTCATCATCATCATCATCATCATCATCACCATCATCATCATCATCATCATCAGCAGCAGCAGTATCAACGTTATCATCAGCATCATCATCAGCATCATCATCATCATCATCACCACCATCACCACCATCATCATCATCATCACCATCATCACCATCATCATCATCAATATCATCATCATCATCATCATCATCACCATCACCATCATCATCATCATCAGCATCATCATCATCATCATCATCATCATCATCATCATCATCATCATCATCATCATCAGCATCATCATCATCATCATCATCATCATCATCATCATCATCATCATCATCATCATCATCATCATCATCATCATCATCATCATCGCCATCATCGTCAGAATCGTCAGCATCAGCATCATCAGCACCATCAGCCGCAGCATCATCATCGTCATCATCAGCATCATCATAGCCACCACCACCACCATCATCATCACCAGCATCAGCACCATCACCATCACCACCGACGTCATCATCATCATCACCATCAACATCATCATCATCATCACCATCACCATCATCAGCATCAGCATCAGCAGCAGCATCATAATCATCAGCATCGTCAGCATCAGCATCGGCATCATCATCAGAGCCAGCATCATCATCAGTAGCAGCATCAACAATATCATCATCAGCATCGGCGTCGTCCTTACCATTAGCACCAACAACAACATCATCACCACTACCACCACCATCATCCATCATGATCGTCATCATCGGCTTCACCGTCGTCATCATCCCCCATCACCAACACCATCAACAATTACCACCCTTATCATCACCACCCTCATCCTCATACTCATCCTCCTCCTTTTCATCATCATCACCACCACCACCATTATCCATCATAATCGTCATCATCGGCTTCACCGTCGTCATCATCACCACCACCACCATCAGCAATCACCACCCTCATCATCACCACCATCATCACCACCACCACCGCCCCCATTCCTCCCTTCCTCCCCCCTCTCTCCCTCCCCCCTTACTCCTCCCCGGCGGCGCGCCTGCGGGAAAGAACATCTCGGGGTCCGCGATGTTCTCTGGCTGCAGGTTCGGCTCCGAGCCGGCCTCGGGTTGCCGAAGCGCGCAATACAGGAGCCCTAAAGGGCCCTTTTTCTGCAGCCCGCGCTGCACCCCGATTTATCGCCCCCCCATTACGATTGCGCGATGCCCCAGCGCGGAGAGGAAGGGCCTGGTCCTGCGGCGAACAGAAGTGAAGGGGAACGTTGGGCGTGAACCGTCTCATTACCAGCCTCGAACATATCCCTATCCCTAAGATTGACGTGCCAAAAAGCGATGACAATCTTGGGGATGCGCCCTCACAAAAGAAGGAAACCCCTAAGATTGGCGTCGTGACGAGAAGGTGCCCAGCACAGTGATAGGGATGTGTTCCAGGCTGGTCATCTCAGGGGTGGCAGCAGCGACCTGGAATCGGCGAGGCATCGCCGACGTGTCGGCGACGGGCCCCCCCTCAGAGCGAAGCCGCACGCTCCTGGGCGGAACGGGGCATCGAGGCCCTATCGGCCCAGTTGCGATTCACGGTGAGCGATTGGGGCTCGAGGCATTCCTCCCTGAGCCGCTCCCCGCCAAGAGAGGCGGAGGATCACGACACAAGAAATAATAAACGGCAGAAGGCGTTCGGCCTGCGGAGGCCTACCGGCACCGGGGGCACCTGGGCCCCGGGGCCGTCAAAAAACGGCTCACGATGAGGAAGCTCATCGAAGCCCCGGAGGGCAAAAGATGGCTCAAACTGGCGGAAGGAAGGCTCAAAATGGCTTAAGATGGCAAAAGATAGCTAAAAAAAATCCCCTCAAGGAAGGGATCCAAGCCGCGGAGGTCCACGTCACGACACAGATGCAGAATCGGAGGAGAGGGAAAAGGGAGGGAAGCAGGAGGAAGAGAAGCAGGAGAATGAGCATGGGGAGGGAGGGCACGCAGGAGGGTACAGGGTGGGGGTAAGAGTGACGGTGGAAAGGGGAGGGGGTCAGAGAAGGAGGGACGAGGGTCAAGCGAAAAGGAAGAGAGAGGAGGGGGACGAAGGACGAAGGACAAGGGCCGGGAGGGAGGCGGGCGGGAGGAGTCATCAAACCGGCTCAGCAACTATGTTTAGAGCGCACGCTCGGGCATGCTGTGCCCACGCTCGTCGACGTGCGCCGCATCAGAGCAGAGTCCGCAACGCCGCAGCTGTCGAGTTCAGAACGACAAGGAGGCGGGAGGTAACCAAAAGGCACCGAGGAGGAGCGAGGAGGAGCGAGGAGGAGCGAGGAGGAGCGAGGAGGAGCGAGGAGGAGCGAGGAGGAGCGAGGAGGAGCGAGGAGGAGCGAGGAGGAGCGAGGAGGAGCGAGGAGGAGGAGGAGCGAGGAGGAGCGAGGAGGAGCGAGGAGGAGGAGGAGGAGGAGGAGGAGGAGGAGGAGGAGGAGGAGGAGGAGGAGGAGATACCGCTACTTCCCAGACCTCTCCCGGGGTGCGCTCCGACCACGAGTTTCGAGGCGAACCCAGCGGTGGCGACGAGGGCCTCCCAGGAGGCCCAGCAAGGGGAAAACGAAGGAAGGGTATCGGTAGGGGTACACCTTAGGTGATGCTTGAGAAAACTTAAGTTTTCGGCCAGAGTCTCGATTATTCTTAACGTTTCAATGGAAATCTTAAGATTTCAATGGAAACGTTGGGTTTTCATTCAAGTTCTGAGACTATGAATTTCTTAACCCATGATTTCTTAAGCATTTCGCAGGGTGTACCTCTTCCTCCTCCTGCGAGAGGCGGGCACGCGGCGAGGAGGCTCTGGCAGGCGAGGGCGGGCGTCTGTGAACACGTTCAGGTAGATACCCAGCAGTACGACGAACAGCGTCAGGATGATCTGCCCGCGCCCGCAGTGCCCCCCCTGATCTCGCACCTGCCTGAGCTGGGCCGCCCATCCTCCTTCTCCTCCTCCTCCTCCTCCTCCTCCTCCTCCTCCTCCTCCTCCTGCTCCTGCTCCTGTTCCTGTTCCTCCTCCTCCTCCTCCTCCTCCTCCTCCTCCCTCCTCCTCCTACTCCTCCTCCTCCTCCTCCTCCTCCCCCTCCTCCTCCTCCTCTCCTTCTCATCCTCCTCCTCCTCCCCCTCCCCTCCTCCTCCTCATCCTCCTCCTCCCCTCCTCCTATTCCTCCTCCTCCTCCTCCTCCTCCTCCTCCTCATTCTCATTATCATCCGCCTCTTCTTCCTCCTCCTCCCCCTCGTTTTCCTCCTCCTCCTCCTGCTCCTCCTACTCCTCCTCCATTCCTTCTCCGAACAAATAACTTCTCCTTGTCGCACCCCGAGGCCAGTTTTTAGGGCGGGCCGGGCGTTTCGCCTGAGATTTCTTCACCATTTATGACCCTGAAGCTTTTAAAGTGACAACAGTCTCACAGATGGAGAGCGGGTCGTTTTCAAAATGTGGCTCTCGCCTCAGCGCCGCGCACATTGATTTAACACATTTACCAGAGCTTCACGGACTGAGGGCGGGTCGTCTTCAAAATGTGGCTCTCGTCGTTTCAACAATTTGCGGGAATTTCAAGGATTGAGGGCTCCCAATGTGGCTCTCGCCTTAGCATCGCGCACATTCATTTAAACATTTGCCAGAGTTTCACGGATTGAGTGCGGGTCGTTTTCAAAATGTGGCTCTCGCCTTATATAGCGCCGCGCACATTCGTTTAAAAATTTGCCAGAGATTCACGGATTGAGGGTGGGTCGTTTTCAAAATGTGGCTCTCGCCCTAGCGCCGCGCACATTCATTTTAACAATTTGCCAGGGCTTCACGGATTGCTGGCGGGTCGTTTTCAAAATGTGGCTCTCGCCTTGGCGCCGCACTTATTCGTTGCAGAAAAAATGCCACAATTTCACGGTTTGACGGCGGTTCCTTTTAAAAATGTTGCTCTCGCCGTAACACCGCACACATTCGTTTTAACAGTTTGCAAAAGTTTCACGGATTCCCATGATCTACGTACCAGGAATAGTGGTGTTGGAAAAAATGGCTTCTGCGGGCGCAACAATTATGTTGATTCGCGGTGTTGAAGTCCTGGCACGAATCCGGGTCGTCAAGACGCAGCAGTCAGGTTGATACGTGGCGTTGAAATCCCGAGAACAATGTTTTGGGACGTTTCAGGATCTTCAAACGGTTGTCTTCCAACGAGGCAGAAATGAACCGTTGTAGGCATCATCATCATCATCATCATCATCATCATCATCATCATCATCATCATCAGCATCGTCAGCATCGTCGTCACCATCATCATTATCAACAACAACAACAACAGCAACAACAACAGCAACAACAGTATCATCATCATCATCCTCATTGTCCTCCTCCTCATCATCATCACCGTCACCGTCGCCATCACTATCATCATCATCATCATCATCAGCAGAAGCAGCAGCAGCATCATCAGCATCATCATCAGCATCATCATGATCATTATCATCACCATAATCATCATCATCATCATCATCATCATCATCATCATCATCATCAAGAAGAACAACGTCAGTATCATCACCATCATCAGCATTACCAGCATCATCATCAGCAGCATCATCAGCATCATCAGCATCCTCATCACCATCGTCATCATCATCATCAGCATCATAATCATAATCAGCAGCAGCAGCAACACCAGCACCAGCATTATCATCATCATCATCAGCAGCATCATCATCAGCATCTTCGTCAGCACCATCATCAGCACCATCAGCATAATCATCATCGTCTTCAGCATCATCATCGTCGTCGGCATCATCACCATCATAGGCAACATCAGAATCATCATCATCAACATCAGCCTATCAACATCATCATCAACATCGATATGCTCAGCAGCATCATCCGCATCAGTATCATCATCATAATCATCAACATCAGCATAAGCATAAGCAGAATCAACATCAGCATCAGCATCATCATGATCATCAGCATTATCAGCATCAAAATCATCATCAGCATCATCAGCAACAGCAACCTCATCAGCATCATCATCTTCCTTATCCTCCTCCTCATCATCCTGCTCCTCCCTCCCACCTCCTCTTCTACAACTACACGATAGCAGTACTGTGATGACATCGTTCCTGACATTGTCTTTATCTGCGCCCGCCAATCTCGTAAACCGCTCGTACACACAAGACTGTCCCGACGTAGCGTCTGATATGGTGTGTTCCACTATGAACGCTCTCAGACTTTCAAAAACACAAAAAACAAAAACAAAAAAAAAAAAAAAAAAAAAAAAACACTCCCGCTGAAGCGCTTGCCACATGCGGCGAGATCCAGGGAGCCTCCGCCCAACGGAACGTTGCTCTCGCCGGCGCTGGACGCAGGACGTCAGATGGGGCGAGAGCGTACCAAGCGTGCGGCGTGCCCTCTACTCTCCCTCTCCTCCCTGCTCCCGCTTCTCCTGCTCCTCCTCCTCCTCGTCCTCCTCGTCCTCCTCGTCCTCCTCCCTACTCCCTACTCCCGCTCCCGCTTCTCCCCGCTCCCTACTCCCGCTCCCTACTCCCTACTCCTCCCTCCTCCCTACTCCCTACTCCCGCTCCCTCGTCCTCTGCTCCCTCTCCTCCCTACTCCCGCTTCTCCCGCTGCTCCTGCTCCTCCTCCTCCTCGTCCTCCTCATCAGCCTCCTCCTCCTCCTCCTGCATGTGCGGGAGCAGCTGGGGAATGAGTGCTGCCGGTGCTCCAGAGAGGCAGGGGGGAGATGTATATATATATATATATATACATCTATATATACATATGCTTGAGCCAGCTCCAGCATAACCCTTGCTCCAACATAACCCTTTCTCCAACATTCCGTTCATCTTACCTTCTCGCACGCTCATGCCTGCAGCGATGTCTTCTTCGGGTGCGGGTGTAGACACGCGCGTGCCAGGCACCCCCGTGAGGCAATTGTTCCAGGACGACCGTCTTCCACCTGCTTCGTCACCGCCGCCACGGGCATCAGCTGGGAGAACGAAGCAACATCGGATCCACAGCCCACTACATGAAATGGATGGGCTGGAAGATGCCGGAAGCGCCAGCGCACTACAACATCAACCTCAAGGGCGTTCCCACGAAGGCGATGGTCAACCACTTACTGCCGACATGTTCCGGAGTATTCTCAATGAGCAACTGAATCCGATACGGAACGACATAAATGCCATCAAAAAGCATGGAGTCTCCCGCGCGGACCTCGAGAACACCGTTGGCCCCATCAACACCGCCATCGCAGATCTCACAACACGGTTGGAGTTACTGGAGACTCGGGACGGCTCGCGGGCACCCTCACCGGGACCGACATCGGCGAGGGTGGGATCAGAAGCAAGTATCGACACGATGATGCACATGAAGCTGCAGGAATTGGAAAGTGAAGTCCAGCAACTTAAGCACCATGGAGTACCACGCGTTCCCATCGACACGAACAACAAAAGGGCGATCACAGCAGTTTTTGGGCAACCTCGGCGGCTTCGACATCTTCAACACCGCCGCAGCTTGGCTGAAGGACCAGCTCGCGACTCTTGCAGGCCCGACTCCACACAATTTGTACATCAAAGGCGACACGAACCACATCCTGTACGCCGAGTTCGGCAGCACGCTGGACCGCGACACGGCGGTGGCCCTCATCCGGAGTGCAAGCTTACAGCATAATGGAAGCAAGATTTGGGCTTCTCCTGATCGACGTTCGACTGACCGTGCAGCGAGAAACTTTTGCTTTGGACTCAAGTACATGTTGAAAGATCATATGGGCATGGAGTACGTCATTAAAGTGAACGACGAATCGCCATACCAGGTCCACGTAGGAGGAGAATTAGCACTAAAAGTGACAACAACAGATACAAGTTTGAAACGGGAGTGGTTTAACAAGTGGGGCGAGTGGGACGACCTCCAGCAGCACGAGAAGCTCAAAGAACTTACGTCCAAATGTGACGATTTGGTTAGCAGAGCTTCGTCGGGAATGAAAGGAGGTCCCAAAGGGCAGTCCAAAGGAGGGGGGAGATTTTGAGAAACGCGGCAGGTGCCGATCGAGGCCGGAACCGGCACCGACGCCGACGCACCATCACCACCGGCGACGACGACGGCAGGAATGGGCAAAGTTACCAGCCTGCCACACCTACCTCAGGAAGCTCACCGGCCCCTTCATGGACGACCCCTCGCAGGAACACGTGTACCTCTCCAATCTCTTTTTCCGCATTCCTCTACTCTGGAATCTGTGCCGGAGATGGGCAAAGTTACCGCTACCGCGCACGGTTTACACGGGCGTCTTCATCAGCACCCCCACGCACATGTTCACAGTGATCCTGATGTTTCCTTTTCGTCTTCTCCAGGGGCTGTTACGGAAATGGGCAAAGATACCATTACCGCATTTGCTTCTACTTCAAGTTTTGGCTACACATCTCCACGTATTTTCTTTGAAAGCGCTTTCATATCACCAGCAATTGCCAACGAAGGTACAGAGTTTGAGACTTTATCTGATCAGGGCGACAATGATACATCGCTCGATTTTTCTTCTGCTATCGCACCGTCTTCGATTCCACCCACTCCACAATCGCGAAGTTCATGGGGCAGGCCTCGCACAGCATGCTTGCCGACATCGACGATTAGACTGGGCTCCTGGAACGTGGAAGGTCTGAGGGGGGATTCGCAGGTTAAGTTCACAGAGTTGTTCGGCACAATGCGAAAGCAGAACATCGATATATTATGCATACAAGAGACGCACTTGCATGGTACAGATTACTACAAACATGAAGAGGGTTTTCTGGTTTGCTTGTCAGGGGAACTTGATGCAAACAAACGTTCAGATGCCGGGGTCGGCTTCATAGTTGCACCATGGGCCGAAAAATCAGCAGTTGCGTTCCATGCCTCTTCGCCAAGACTCGCCT